TCTCGGACGAGCGGGCCCCCGGGAGGCAGAAGCTGCTGGTGGATCTCATTCACAACCTGAACGAAAACATCCTGGCCGAGGACAAGGAGGACGACGAGAAGTGGTTTGAAGGTACGCCTGGCGGGAGCTGCCTGGGGGCAGCAGGCTGGGCCAGCTCCAGCATCACTGCGGACAATCTGACTGGCCCTTAACGAAAAGCAGTGTGAAAAGCGGGGAGCCCTTCTGGCCGGTGGGGTTTGGTACCTGGTCGCTTACATCAGCACACCTTTGTAGGTTTCTTTAAGCATATTTACTCTCAGAAAATAGTAGAAAACCGGTGTTCCCTATTGCTCTGTCCAAGACCACTCTAGGATACTTTTTTTTTTCCCATGTTAACATAGATCTGTATGTACAATCTTTTAACAATTTACTAATAGTATATTGACAATTTTGCAAGCAGCCAGCGAACCTTGCTTTATGTTTTCGTTCTACTGTCTTTGCAAGTTCCCCCTGCCATTCCCCAGTCATTGCTGCAGTTCTTCCTGACCAGTTCAGTTCTCTCTTCACAGTCTCTCAGCATTCTGTGTATGTGCCTTAATGAGAAACACTTAACATCAACATTAATATCAGCGACTCTCACAGCAGATGCTCTGCGTGGTCCTTTCACATGCTAAAAGCAGGGTGGTCTTCAACCAGTAAAAGAGAAATGAGAAAGAAAAAAAAAAATTGCACCTACCGAGACTGTAAAAAGAAGGGATAAACACCCACCTATGCAGAAGCACAGCACTAAAAGTACCAAGTTACAACACAATCTAACTCCCTTTAGGTCTAGAGTCCCGTTTTAAGAACAAATCAAGCTACATGCGATACACTTGTGAAAGCAGAATACGAAGCTACATGAAAGAGGTAAAAGTTCCTGTTGGAGTAACGTATTTTCAAGCTGCTAGTAAAAGTAATTCTGTGACCACTATATATGAAACACTTCTATGGTGCAACATACTGATGGTGGAAAAGAGCCTTGGGCTGCTACAGGCACCAAGGAATGACTGGTGGTGGTTCTTTTCCCCTCTAGGTTAGTAGTTTTATTTCAAATGTTCATCCTACAGCAAGAGATGCGTATAAAAGGATAACTGACCTGATGTCAGATAAACTGAAATCCGTGAAATACAATGGGTGCTACTTCGACAGAAGAGAGGAGGAGGCAGTCCGCCTGTGCACTGCAGAGGGATGGTTCTCTTGTCAGGTAAGTTCAGCCCTTTCTAAAGCAGAGAGTCGTGGTTCCAACAAGCAAGCAGCAGCAACGCCATTAGAGGACGGAAACAGTTACTTGCATGCTTGCTTTGGCGGAGTGACGTTATGGTAGTGTGCATGATCGACCTTTGGGTAGTTCCAGCAAGTGGGAGGGCCATGCCGGGGTGGCCAGCAATACGCCTTTCATTGTAGCCGTCTTGTTCTACAGGGCCCTTTTGATAGAGATGACTGCCCATGTAAACATTCTATCAACCCCTACGGTAACAGGGAAAGCAGAATCCTCTTCAGTACCTGGAATCTCGATCACATGTATGTATGAAGTATTAGTCCAAACTCATCCTGTTTCATGCCCTTCTTCCTAGCCAGGAAAGGTGTAGCCACTGAGTCTTTACCCCTTGCCCACTGAGCAGGTAGCTCCACTATGAATAGTGCGTTATGATGAAAGATGCTTGGATGATGCAGCTCTTTCTGATAACATAAAATCCTGAAGAGCGATTATTAGTTGCTTTGCTTCCGTTCAGATTTTCTTTGTATGGAAACATACACCTCTTTGCTGTGTTACCCCTTGTTCAGGCTACTCTCTGGCCCAAACCCTCTAGCCCATTCGCAGGCATTGTACACTTGTGAAGCCAGCAGGATTTGTGAAACTAATTTCCTCAGGGAAAAAAAAAAAAACAAAATCATAAACAGTTATGTGAAAACATGAAAAAAACATAAACCAGTTATGTGACACAGTTACAGTGAAAAAATTCAAATTCTGCCTGGCTCTAAAGGAGGATGGAGACTTGATCATTATGAAAAAACTTTTGATGGCAAGCATTGTTTTCTCTTTCATGTACTGAAGAATAGAGAAGAAACGTGCTGTTGTCCCAGAACTGGCAGAAGCTGTCAAAACACGAGATGGAAGAGAAGTGAACTGGGAGTACTTCTATCAGCTATTGTTTACTGTGGATAATTTAAAACTCGTGCATATTGCTTGCCATAAGAAAACCAATCATAATCTCAGCTGTGACAAAAGTAAAATTTACAGAAAAAGGAAGCAAAACCACAAGATTTCATAGTACTATCTCTAGAATTGACTTGCTTTTTTCCAAAATAGTGTCATACGGTGCCATTTTTAAATAGCTCTAGTTTCTTAAACAAAAAAAAACATTTATAGAGTCCCTGGCAAAAGAGACTTGTGAGATTGCAGTTGAATTACTTAGCAACACATAGATTCATACCATGCCTAATTCTACTCTCCTGCCTTCTCACTTACGACAAGCCTTCCTTAGATCACGCTGTGTTAAGTGCGATAAAATACAGCTGTGAGTCAGGTATAAAAACAAGGCCAGTGGCTGACACCGATGACACCCTACGATCTCTTTCTTGCCAGGACAAATCTGGGCCCAAAACTTGCAGTACACGGAAATGAAACTTAGACAAAACATTTCTTAAAAACTAACCTGAGGGGATGTGGAGCTTCACGTTGCTCTGAACATTAAGCCAAAGAATACTTGAGGATAATTATTTTGCTCTGTGCCTTTTCCAGGTAGACAGCTGCTGTATTTTAGGTATGCCAAAGGGCGATCAGGAGCAGAGCTGCTGGCTCTTCTCTGAGAGTCCATGGCCACTCCATTTGCTGTTGCTTTAGACCTGCATTTCCTCAAAGGAAGAGCAAGGCCATGGCCTATCTTTGCTTTTACCACCTTTGTTCCCTCTCATCTTTCCCATTGATTTCCCTCTCCTTTCAAACAGTTTCTGCCTCTTTAGCCTGAGTTTGCTTGAAGCAATACAAGCAATGTCACTGTATAATTGTGTTTACCTGCTGCTTCAGAGAATACTGCTTTTGTAAAACACTTCCTACCTCAGGTAACAAAATACAAATCGATCAATTTTTACTTGACTTTTTTTTTTTTAGTATCAGCCGATAGCAACTGAACTTTTAGGGACTGACAGTGTAAACAATGTGATTTTTTTTTTAATTAAAAAAATATTTTTTAAAAAATTAAATTTTTTTTTTTTTTAATTAAAATTGCTGCCATCTCTCTGTGTGTGTATGTGGAGGCAGAGGTGCACAAGTGGTGTAATATAGCATGGCCAACACAAACTAGAAGGACTGAGTGCAGGGAACTGCATTTATGAACAGAGCAGCAGTTACTTGCTGCCATGTAAATAACATTCCTCATCTCTAGGCAAGAGTTCTGTTTTCCCCCATGCCGCTGGCCCTCTTTCTTACCCCAGCAAAGCCAGCTAGTCCACGCAGAATTGTATTAAGACAGTATTGCTGTGTGAGCCTAACTTAATGGGTCTTAGAAATGCAGGAGCTTTGCTACAGAGAGTATTTTCTTACTTCAAATGAGAAGCTGAATCCTGGTCCCAGTCGTTTCAACATGAAAAGTAAGTAGGTGCATTTTAAATACAGGAGTTCTAATGCCAATGCATTGAGTCGATCCTTCCAGATTGCCTTACTGAATATAGATCATCAGTAACTATGATGGAAATGCACGCTACACAGTTCTGACATTGGAGAAAGCATCACAGCTAAGATTCTGATGACAACCACAATGTCATCTGTGTGGCACACTTCCTACAAACTAAAAATCACCATTTTGCAGAGCGCAGGAACTAAAACGAACATCTGGGCACAAAGATGTATTTGTTAGAAAGAGACGGTAGCAAATATGGCATTTAAGGAAAGCTGGGAGAGCTACTTCAAGATGGAGTTGTGCTGCAAACCATGAATATGCTATTAAAAAATTAGATTTTTCTATGTTACAGAATTGGAGTGAAAAGGAGCCAAGAAATATCGTTGACACAAACAATGCATCAGCTGGAGTGGAAGTGTGAATAAATTAACATGTCATGCATATACAATTTGTTTGGCTTACAACTTTTGAATGTTTAACGGGCTATAGCTGTAGAAATTAATATTTATTGAAACCATCTGCTGATAACACTTCCTCTGTATTTTTAGCAATGTAGAAGAAACTATTTATAACAATAAAGATCTGGAAGCTTATAATCACATTGTCAAAGGAGTATTATCATAAACATCGGGTGAGTTAACAGTTCCTGAAATCATACGAGGTTGCTCATTATTTTCTAAAAATGCAGGCCACACTAACAAATTTGGTGGAGTGACCCATATCCTTAGCAATCGGTACTCATTTGCCTACCGAGTCCAACACCAAGAGATTTTATTTCTCCTTTATCACCACCAGCGTTAATGAAATTGCTATTCATAACCCTTGGAAGTTAATTAAAAATACTGCACGAGCTGCATCACCCAACTATTAGAAAAGGTAGTGCTTACGGCTGGTCTGGCGGAAGAGGGAAGCAGGCAGCTTCACATGGCGGTTGTTCAGAGAACTGCCATGCAATAAAAACTTCACTTCCACAGAGTGACACCACTAAACTCACACCAACATCCGTGCATTTAGTTTTGCCCAGCAGAACTGCATTTTAGAGGTTTAATTGATTCTGGCTTAGATGTAAACGATGCAACACAACTTACACAACAGGGGCCCGTGTCCCTCTTTGTACTGGGTACTCAACTGGCTGCGTTAGTAACTGGATGCCACAATGGCAGACATCGCAGAATTAAAAGAAAAAGGAACTTGTTCTAACATGGTTTCCTTGGCTATTTTTAAAAAAGGAGCAAGACCAAATGTTCACCCTAGGTATGGGCTCCTAATTTATAAAAAAGCTGTAAGAATGTTTATTTTCCCTGTTTTTTTCCTAAATATTAGTGGTAAAATGATAAATTACAATTTATTCCCACATTACTGAAAATCCAGTCAATCTTTGCCCCCGATAACCATGGCAGAATACTGTTACCTGCCAATTCCAGAAAAGTAAACTCTACCAGCTATTCTGTCTCTGAGAAAAGGCAAAAGCAGACACCTTATGTTAGTGACATAGCCACCATCATTACATGGTTGCAAAGAAAAAGAAAAAAAGGTTTCATTTGTTTACAGTTTGTTGTTAGATGACATCCTCTTCCTCCTCCTCCTCCTCTTCCTTTGCAATGAAATGTAGCTTTCGGAATTCTCTCCTGCTCATTGTTGTGCTTGGGAGTGAAACTGCTGGGAGATCCTTTAAGAAAACGATAAAATCATTATGGAAAGTCTGTTGCAGCAAATGGCAGACTTCCTGCCTCTGCAACAGCGCACGTACTTCCACATCTGATACTCGAGGCAGCAGCACACACCTCTTCACTTGGAAGCGGTGGCATAAACCCACAGCTAAAGCAAAGGAGCTCTCAGAGGAGCTTGCCTGAACCAGTCACGGCCCATGGTCAACATGAGGGCTGGCATCCCTTCTGCATGCTGGAGAAGGTTCAGAGAGGGTGAAATGCTCCATGAACGAATCCTCGCTACTCCCGCTAATACCAGCCATGACTTCTGCTAAATACCAGTCCCCATGAAACACCTAAAAGGAAAAAAAAAAATCTAACCAAGAAAGATTTCACATCTGAAATTAACTTGCCGTGGCAATTAATTTCATAATTATATACAATAATTCTATATAGGGGACAGGGACACGGCTCCAGATGTCTACCAATGCTGGTCAAGTTTGTCTACAATTTTGAGGCTAGCCTGATTTTGTTTGAAGATGCAAGACTGAAGTGGAACAGAGCTGAGTCTGTAGAGCGAACAGACTGTCATCACCTTACCTGTATAAACTGGACATCTCCAAAGAACCGGTCCACTGGCATCGGCTGGTTGCTGTCTTCATCCAAGAAAGCACTAGTGCCTAGCTGTAGCGGCTTCTTTGGGCGATCTCTATCCTCCAAGCTAGACCTATCTGAAAGTACACTCTCACAGCTGCTCTCCTCTTCACTGCAGCCAGGATTGTCCAGATTTTCATCACTGTCTGTTTTTGATGGAGCACTGCTTGATTTCACTGCATGTGTCTTGAGAGCAACACTGTGCTCCTTTTCCTGTTTGTCTTCATTAGTCTCTGGAATGCTTTCACCTTTTTTCTGTTGAATTATATTGCAGATTCCGCGATCTTCTGAAGGTTGATCCCCATCGGATGTTTTAGATGTTTCCCCCAATGCAGCAAGGTTTCCACTTCCACGTGTAAGTCTTTCTAGTTCTGATTTTACTGGACTGTTTTTTTCACATTTTAGCCTCTTTGAGGGTCGTCCATCAGCTGCTTTCTGTGAAGAAGACTGTCAGAAAAAAGGTAAGATCCTAAAGCTTACTTGAAATAAATGAAATCACCACATCTCTTTAGTTGCAAGGCTGGATGTGGAACAAGGTGAGCGGCACCTTGATCCAAAGCTGCATCGCTAAGAAAAATTATTAGTAGAAAGTGGACATGGAAAGAAGAAAAGAGGAGCAGATAGCTTACACTAAACCCCAATGTACACAGTCCGTCACCAGTGGAAAGCCACTTCTCAAAGCATAAACCAGCACCGTACGTGGCTAATCACCATTTTGCTATTTTCTTAAGGATGCTGTAATGGCAATTAACGTAGCAGAATGAACTATCACCTGGTACAGCAAAGCATCCCACCGCTTGCTAGCGGCACGGCGCACCAGCCAGCAGCCTACCGCAGCCTGCCGCCAGCCTTTGCACCGTAATGAATCCAAAAGCTGGCCCTGCAGCACCCAAATATGCCCCTGCGCCGTATTTTTGCACGCAGGCGCCTAACAAAAGTGGCGGGAAGGTAGGAAAAGCGAGGAATTTACTTAAACTCTCCAGGTGATTCCCTCATAGTGATGCTCAGTTTGCAGCTGTTTAATAATTAGCCGCACCCCCGGCACTGCTCCTGCC